TGACCCCCTTCTCCTAGACCCCCCCCCCATTTGGACAAAACAGAGGCGACATAATTCACTTTGCCAGGTTTTACAGTGTAGGGGTACGAAATCGGTGAAAGGGTCAATCGAAATCTGTTCCCCAGCTGTGCGGCCCTCTCACTCACCCCTAGGCCCAGAGAGAACGACAGAAAGAGAGAGAGAGAGAAATGCTCGGGGGGAGATGGACCCCACAAACGTACCCCCGAGCTGCCTGAGCATCACAAGCCTGTTCAGCCAAATCCAACAACATCAGTCCAATTTGTGTAGGCATGCAAACAAGTTTAAACTGAATAAAAATGTGCAGTGTTTCTGAACTGTAATTAGATATTAAAATAAAGTGGGAAATAAGGATGGGATCATGCACGAATCCTCATTTCTGCAGAGCTAAAATTCAATGCATGTGTCCAAATAATGATTTTCCTTCTCTACTCTGACAGGACTAATCCAAAAAAAAGGTTGCACTTTCCACCAAGCTCACCTCTAGACACCCACCTATCACCACCACAGCCAACACATGGTATTATTTACAGGATCACATGAACGTTTCAAATCAAATTAAGCTCTCACTTTTGCTTCTTTCAGATTCACTCACTTTACTGTCTCTTAAGAGAACACCCTTTACTGCATCCCTACCCATAAAACCCATATCCTGCCATCAGTGTATATTTGAGTATAAAATAGAACTAAAATGTGTTGAAAATGCACTAGGATGAATTAAAACGAGTGTGAAAGAGAGAGCAGGAAACTGAGGAAGAGGAGATATTTAAAGTAGCAGAGGATGTGAATGTATTTTGCCTGACAGTTAACTAAATTAATTGTATATAACATACAGAAACGTAAAATACTAACAAATAAAGGATTATAAGAACTATTTGTTAGGCAAAATTTAAAATAAATAAATAAGAAAGGTTTGAATCATTGAAGTCACCTTTTAGTCTTAGTTTAAGATGGCATGGTGCTTCGTGACACGTTCGCTTTGTTTGCTTTTGTAAGAAGCGCGGGAGAATTTTGTGTTGTGTATGAGGCTGATAATTGGCTAGAGCCAAATATTTATTATGAGGGAACCTGTTTTACAAATGACTTTTTATGCTGCTATATGACGAAAAAAAAACACTCCATTTATAACTATCTGCATGAGAAATTACTATGAAACGGGCGTGATATTTTGACCGATTTTTTTAAATAATTAAATAAATCCACTTTTTTCTTGTCATATTGCTTATGCTATGCACTATGCAGTGCATCTTATGCAACACGACTTTTTTCTCCACAAAATAAATAATTTAGGATGTGAGTTTTTATCTCATGTAGGGTAATTAAATGCCCAAAGACTTTGCATTTTTGTCTCTAATTAATAGTAAAACAGTAAAACATCAGTAGTTTGGTTTGCAAATACTGGTGATCTACAAGGTGCTCGCGACTTTTCCATGTTAGCCATATGACAGGCTGCGGATGGGCAGGTGATTTCGGCCACTTGCACATGGCAGCTGACCTCTGCTGTAAATTTGAAACATCTCCTTTATCCAGCCTACACAATATGCAATATTGATATACCGCGGGGGTTTATCTCCGCAACGTATTTAAGCGAATCACGAAAACATGTAAACGCAGCAGATCTCTCTCTGTACATGCTTTAATGACGTCTCAAATTATTTGTACATTTAAAAACGCCTCGCAAGCTTATGTCCTGAAGAGGTTTTGATTTCAGGATGCATCCTTTTTCACACTAGCAGAAAATAACCCGTCTCATTAAGTGCGTTTTGCTCACTTTAGTGTATACATATAAACATAAAATCGTAATTAATTATTAATTTATTTCAGACCACATGTTTGGCCATGCTTGATGCAGCAAATTAATGTATATAACAAATAAATACATCAAGTTTTAATTGAGCTTAAAAATCCGAAAATATCATCAAATACACTAAATTAGCAATTCCAATATTCCTCAAATTCTCGCCCGTTCTCTCTGTGCGTTTATAAAGTGACAAAAAAATCGGAAATTTTAGCCCTAAGACACACACGTGTATTTTCTATAAAAATAAAAATAAAATAAAATAAAAAAGTCTCTTACTTATTATTCTATTAATAAGCAATTCATTTTAAAGAATTAGTGTGATGCTCCCTGTTCTTTCCTCTCCCATTTTCTCCGCTTCTATATGTTTATAACAATTATAACATGATATCACGGCCTAGCCTATGTAATAATAATTTTGAGCTGTTTTGGGGAAATTAAATGCTCAAACTAATTTTTGTCCCTCTGCGTAAAACTTTAGCAAGTCAACTTGAGCGTAACCGATACACGTATTTCTCAAAATCCAAGGTCTCACTTTTAAGGGTGAGACAGAACAACATACATCTCCTCAGTGTTTCAATATCATTCTAAGAACCCAGGGGAGAGTAAATGCGGAGGAACTCCAGGTCCAAAAACTTTGTTTCAAGCGCTAATTGTTTATTTTGTATGCATTACACTAGTGAAATAGAAAGACATGCTGTGGTACCTCGGTTTGACTTTTCTTGGTTTTATTTTATTTATTTGTTTTTTTTTTTAAACAGGCCAATAGTTTTGTCTATTGCAAGAGCACTTCTAGATACAAAACAATTGATTTCGAAACACTTCTAACTGTGCCCAAGCGCTTCCTCTAACACGCATGGTATGCTCCGTTTCACACACCCAACTACTTGGAATATGAACAACTTGGAGCTTGTTGGTGATGTTTACCTTTGCGCAGCTGTGTTGGCATCCAGTATCCCCGCGCTCTGCATCCAAGAGCGCACCGGAGTCATGCCACTCGTAAGGGGCTCTTCTTTCATGGTCAAGGCTCCCCGTGGGAGACCGTCCTGGATGGAGAACATGAAAATAGCCTTCTGGGGGATGTCTCTCTACACCAGCTCGAGTGGAATAATCCTCCTGCACCACCTGGATTAACCAAAACCAACTGAAATGGAAAAAATCTTCCCCAAAGTGCAACAAGGGGAAAGAGGTCCTTATCCAAAGACGCGCTGTCGTATCCCTTTGGGTGTTCCTCTTTCTTTTAGATTCCAAACCCAAGTTCAGTTCACTCAAGATTAACCGGTCTCTAGTTAAAAGAGGGTGGAGAGAAGGCAAGAGCTGTGGAGCATCTCAAAGGAAACGATCAGCCGGGATCAAGCAGACCTTCTCGTCGCGGGGAGAAAGAGAGGAGAACGCGAACTCGCTCTGAAGAAGAAGGCGAACAGGCGCGCACGGGATTGTGAAATGAAAAGTGGGATAAAACGGGCGACTGCTTCAAAAAGGAGTAAAATGAAATGATTACCGAACAAGAGGGAGGGATGGACCAGGGAAGGCTTGCTGTCCCTGGGGAAAAGAGGGATTGGGTAGCAAGAAATCTCATTCCCTCCCTCCCCGTCTCTTTATGCCTCCTCTGTCCCAGCGGAGCGCACCTTCTCTCGGGTTCCGCGGCTCCAGCGCTCTCGGAGGGGACAAGCGTGGACTTGACGAGGGCGGAGACTTGCCCTTAAAAGGCAAAGTCATTTACATGTCGATCTTCGTTCTGAGCTCTGATTGGTCACGGTCATCCCTTGCGTCATTTTCAAAATTCGCCGCAAAAACTCAGCTGATGTTAGTGGGACTGAGAGCTCTGGCAGTGGAAGTGGTCTCATGCTTTCCAGATTTAACATGAAACATGCCCTTAATACCCAGGAACATTCACGATGCATTTCATACACCTAGCATGATAGCATGAGTATAATCGACTATAGAATAGCCTATCGTTTTCCAGAAGTCAAATTTGTCTAAAAGTTCAGCCGGGTATGATCTGAGATTATAAACAATGACTGAATGCGAACCCTAAGCATTTACAGTAAGTATACTTTACGTTCCCTGGTACTCAATGGAGTTTCCACAGATGACAAAGCGCAGCAATACTCCATAACACTGTCGAACATCTCTTAATTTTGTATAACCGTCAGGAATGAACTTGTCCTCATGACTAGGGAATGTGTTGCCGATTTAACATACTCAATAGATGAATTAGAATAAATATTCAAATTTGATAAAGCACGGGGTTATTTGCAGCTGCATGAACTGATAATAATAATATTATGATATAAATTATTATTATTGTTGTTGTTGTTATTAACAGTCTGTTTGCAATACAAATATAAAATAAATCAAATAAATTATATTAAGAACAATTATTCTATAATTTAGGTCAAATTAATTAAGTAGGTAGAGTTTTTGCTCATACATAATACTAACCCCCCAACGAAATGTGAATTGTGCAAACTCGCATTGTATTAAGGATTTCTACTGTTCTTTGGCATTATTTTGAATTCCACCAAATGACGCCTGATTAAATCATTTTTACAGATAGCCCTCCAGAGCTCACAAGCGGAAAACGACCCCATGAGATAAAAAAAATAAAATAAAACTCAATTTCATCTAAAAGAAAAAA